TCGAGTCCTGATTTCCCTGCCCTTACACTGCCCGACTTGGATCACACAGGAAGCTCGCGTCGCCAAACCTCGGACCCCGAACATGCTGAGTACTGCAGCCAAGCTAAGGTAGCCGACCCATTTGGACAACTGCAGTAGCCATGGCTGTCGCTGCAGCTTCCCGTCCTGCGCCCCATGGACAGCGCTCGCCAACCCTCAGCGATGCGGGCATGATCCTCCCCTCGTTCGAGGCCGACTTTGAGCGCGCTGCCTCTCCGCCCGTTGCTGAGCGCCCGCCCTCGCCGTCCGACCTCTACAGGCACGCAAACTCCAGCCGAGTCAGATTAAGTTCCGCACCGCAGGGCCGGCGCCGCGCCTCGCAACAGACGAAATCCCCGTCCCTATCAGCACAGTCCTCGCGCTCCACGCTGCGCAACATGCCCGACTCAGACGCGCCTACTAAGAGCGTGCCTGCCCGTGACGATGCCCTCGCTTCGTCGCCCACCATCCAGAATGCCCTGAGCCGCCATTCACCCAGCACGTGGCACGGACAAGATCAGCACAAGATCAGCCCTACTTCCAGCTCCGTGTTCAGCGAGGACTTTGAGCACTGGCCGGGGTTTGACAGCCACGACAACTTTGAGGACAGCGGCGTGGATCTCGAAGAGCAAGAAAAGCGCAACCACCACACCCGGGACAGCGACACCGGCAACGGCATGGGCAGCGAGCGGTGGCACGAGGACCGCACCAGTGGCAGTGACGACGAGGACGACCCGTACTCGTCGGCTGCACTGAGTAGGAGGGCAGAGATAATCCTGGCCAATGCGAAGAAGCGGCTGAACGTATGCGCTTCTTGATGCTGCCACACATCGGACGATTGCTAACGGGAACAGGTCATGGAAGGAAACCTCCGTGGTGCGCGAGAGTCGCTCGTCGTCTCACCCACGTTCCACTCGAGAAATACATCTTCCGACTTGACCTCGCACATAGCGGCCAGTCGCGACCGAGACCGACGACTGTATGGTGGCATGGGCCCGATTCCTCCGCGCATCAACTCTTATCGCCAGTCACTCCTCACCCCGAACGGTAGCCCCAGCCATGCACGCGGTTTGAGCGAGACATCGGTGCCACTCCCTTTCACGCCTTCCTACTCGTACCTGACCCGGACTACATCCAACAAGCGCGCATCGAGTGCATTCGGCCATACCAGCGGTCCATGGTCGCCTGAGAGCTACGGCCAGGGACGTTTCCCCATTAAAGAGTCCCGAAGTGTGGAACACCTCCGCAACCCGCGCTCTACCTGGAACAGCAGCGAACGCGAGTATGCTGCAAGATCTGCCTCGAGGAGCTCACGATCCCCAACTGCACTGGAGACTTTGCCAGAGGATGAGGACGGACAGAGGGTGCATCGCTCCACATCTGCAGCCAGTGGTCTCCGCGACCAGATGAACGATCTCAAGGGTAGAATCTCTAGTCTGAAGCTCAAGGCGCAAGAAGATCACATGCGACGCAGAAGCATACAGAGCCTACGCGCACCGAGCCCCTTTACGTCTTCTGACACATGGCATCCAAGAAGCACACCGACAAACGCGGGCTTGGGCATTACGACAGACCCGTACGAAGAACAGGAGCGACCCTTGACCGCCACTACCACCAACTCCCAGAAGCACGGCGAGAAGCTAGTGACGCACTTCAGCAAACTAAATGGGACCAACGGACACGCGTACTCTGTCCAACCATACGACCAGGCCGAGGCTGAATCAAACGATCCGGAAGCATATGAAGATGAAGCTGCGGACGAGACAGAGGAGTCAGACTTCGTCTCGGTGAATGGAGATGACGTTCCCGATCCGGAGAGTGTATACGAGGACGCCGTCTACGAGATGCCAACCACTGAGCGACACGAGGACCGCGTAGATGCGTTCGACTACGAGACCTTCTTCTTGCACAGTGCAATGGGCACCTACAGCGTGGAAGATCGCCGATCGAGTACTAGTTCGGGCTCCTCTGCCGCAACTACGCGGCCCGTGACAGCTGTCCAGACAACGGATGAACTCGGCATGGGCGAGAAGAGAGCGTCATTCCATCAGCGGAATCCCAGCGTAGACTCAGTCTCCACCGTAGCCACGTTTGCTACTGCAGCTGAAGAACAAAACGACGATGAAGAAGAGGAGAATGAGCAGATGGATCAGTTCTCTCAGCAGATACTGTCGAACCAGAACCGATCTGTCTCGCGCCCAGGGACACAGAACGGCCTCCTCTCTCTGCGTTCTGATTCGGCAATCAACATGCGACGCGCCAATGGCTCCTCTCCATCGCAGAGGTCACTATCACGTGGCTCGTCTTCACCCGGAGAGCTCGCCAGCGGACTCCAAACCTCGAGGATATACTCCATCCTCACAGAAGGCTCCAGAGACGAGCCACGGGTGGCACTCAGCGAGGAAGAGACGCAGCTCATATACGGCCTTGCTGCGAGTATCCAGAACGTGTGCTCCAACCTGCAGCACACCTACGGCGATGCCTACGAACGCAAGGCATGGCGACGAAGACTTGACGAAGCCCGCAAAATACTTAATGGCGAGGGCGAGGATGGTGCAGATGACCAATCCTTCTAATGCTCCGCAGTTAGCCCTCAAACTTTCCTTTCTCAGACTTACGGTAATGTCTAACTCGACTGTAGCGGTTTAGCGTCACTCGTTTCCACCTTTTACGAGCTTACTCCCTATCATGTGTAATTTGGGACATCCCCACTTTCTTTTCGACTTCACCATTTCCTTTGCTTTGGCAGATTTGCGGTGTCTTTTTGCAGGAGGTCACGACTTTGGAACTATAGATAATTTCTCTTATGTGTATTGATACCCGGGAGGCAGCGGCGGGGTCACAGGACTCCGGTGTATGTGGACACGTTTTTTGTTCACGCGTTTGCAAGTACTTCTTAGCTCTAGAATCTAACATGCCCGTCATCCATGTATGTAGGGCTGCGAGAACCAATCTACCGATCTACCAACCCAGCACGTTGGGCCTGACCGAGTGTCAAAGTCATGCCAGCGCCCGTGTCTAGAAAGCCGTCAGAAGGCGGTGGAACGACGGGGTGGAGTCGGCGCGAGATTTACCCCTCCCGAGGCTGTCACGAACCTAGATCCATGGGAGGATTGCCTCCAAGTTTGGGGAGAGCGCCCCACCAAACACCGTCACGAAGCCACTGCATGCATGCAAAATACAGTCTGCTGTGCGTTGTTCATGTACCATCGTGGACAACGAGGAGCGACGGCAGGCCTAATGCACGTCTGCGACGCGTGCAGGTTTGCCGCGCTCAGCGATGGAGCGCGATGTGTGCCGGCAGCGCGCTACGATTGGATCGCGCACGGCAACGCTGGACTGGCGGTGTAGATGTCGGCCGTGGTAACCACTGCAACTGAAGGCTGCCAACAGCACGGATACCCACTAGAGCCTCCGCAATTGGCCCACCGCGGCGTGGCTGGGGGCGTGCTAGACAGAGAGGGATGGTTCCGGACGGCCATGCGCTGAACTGAAGCACAACATTGAATTATCCACACGACAGGCTCATGCAATGCGCCCCGGCTCTAACCCTAAAATTTTGCCCAGCGGAATAACTCCAACCTGCCGCCCGCATCGCGCATCGACGTTTCCCTGCGTCTGATCGCATCGACACATCTCACGATAGCTGGGCCAACCCTCACTCAGCACCCGCCGCCGCCCACAGCTCCGGCCGAATACCCCTCGACTCACACCCCTCATTTTTCGACATCTCGCCTGCGGCTGGTCCGGGCGCGTGTGTGACGAAGGTGGATGAAACGAACCGCAAGCTCCAACCGGCTTGGTGCGCGCAACGACTAAAGCCTATTCGACCCCGATAACGATTGGCGTTGCGGAAACACATCCATACACACCACACAGTCCTTGTGACCACTCGCGACGCCTGCTCCCCTGCTTTCGCCTCTGACGCTCACTGAATCTGAATCTGCGCGGCGCCCGTCTCCTGCATACTCCGTGCACTCTGTACCTGCTGCGACCGCGACTGTCTTATTCGACCTGTGCCGATCGCCGCGTCTTGGAGTTCTAATATTTGGCCCGTGTAATCTGCGACGGATTGCATCACCATCGTCACCTGTTGAGCGCCGCATTCCTGCCCTCGTGTACTACTAGAGCTCGCCGCATCGAGACCCTGCAGCAGCAGCCCAGGACCGCGAAGGAAGTCACGCTGCACCAGCCCGCTCCCGTACCGTATACGAAAACACCTGCCGCCCGCGCAATTGCAACCTCGCCGCTCCACGCTCGCGGTTTCGCACGAGCGCTCATGTGCCTACCTCCGCCCTGCTCCTTCTATTTGCGCGTCTCACACTCGCACAATGTCTCCTGTCAGCTCTCGTCGCGCCGTCGCCGCCGCGCCATCTGCGAGACCAAGGACCCTGCCGCTTTCGAGGACTGGATCGGCTGAGCGTGGTTGGGACAGAAAGAGTCGGAACATGCAATCCGAGGATGTTTGCAGCTACGCCGCCGGAAACACATCAGCATGGGAGTCTGAGAATGACTGGCCCATTGCTGAGTTGATAGCGGACATGTACCAGGCGCTGGATCGGCTGGAATGCCCCAGTGCTGGTCACAAGAGTTCGAGTAGAGGTTTTATCTCGGTACGACGACACTGCTTTGTTTGGTCTCTTGTCCATGTTTGGTGCACGATTACCCACACTCCTTGCCAACTGCTTTCCGCATTGTTTGATTCCTGGTTCTACTTCTAACAACTATTCAGCGGCCTAATCCCACGACCCAGTTGTCGCGGTTTCCTCCATCAACCCTCGAGTCCTTCCCGGAGTCATGGAGTCCAGCCCCACGAAACTATGGATCCCCACCACCCTCTTACGATGAATCTATTGCAGATATGCCCCCAGACTATACATCCACCGATGCGCTAGCCTATGCAAAAACGCCTGATTACTTACCGTTTCCTTCTTTCCGCGCATCATCACGTTCTAGTGTTCGAAATGGTTTGCGCAAACGTAATGCTTCGTCTCCAACAACTTCATTCTTCCTTGATGTGAAATCTCCATATGTGGACATCGATTTTGGCTACAGTGAGACAGGCATCAAATCGCACGCGAAGAAGAAGGCCAAGGCAGCGGCCAAGGCTAAACCTGCAGCTGCAGCTACACCAGCAGACGACGGCAAGAAAGACGAGGAAGCCGCTGGTGGTGGCGATGGTGGGGGTGACCCGCCTGCAGATAGCGGGGCTGGAGGCGATGGTGGCGACGGGGATAAGGGGAAGAAAAAGACCAAGAAGGAGAAGGAGGAAGAGGAGCGCTTAAAGAAAGAGGAGGAGGAGCGTTTGCAAAAGGAGGAGGAAGAGCGCCTGGCGAAGGAAGAAGAGGAGCGGTTGGCGAAAGAGGAGGAAGAGCGTCTGGCAAAGGAGGCTGAAGAGGAGGCCGAGCGCAAGAAGAAGGAAGAGGAAGAAGCGGCAGCTGCAGCCGCAGCGAAACCATCGATACTAAACGCTACAGCTGGCTTGAGTTGGGGAAAGGAGCCAGCAGCAGATGACTGGGCCTCGTTTGGTGCGGCCGCTCCCGGCAAGAAGAAGAAGGGCAAAAAGGGGAAGGTGTGTCATTTCGGCTTTTTAGTTACACATAGCAGCACGCTAACTCACGATAGACGGCCGAGCCCGCACCCCCGCCTCCTCCTGATCCTCCAGCGGAACCGCCGACAACATTCGACGATATTAACCTGGACGAAGCAAGTGCGCCAAAGATTGACATGAATTTCAGTGATACGGGCGCATCAAAATCTGGATTTGGACTTCCCGGGCTTGGCAATTGGACCTCCGGCTGGGGCTCATCGAACAAAGACGCGACTGCAGAAGGCGACAACCCTTGGGGCTCAGATAAGAAAAAGAAGGAGGACGGATTCGATTTCGATTTTGACGCGTTCAAGAGTCCCCCGGCTGAGGACAAACCTGCTGATGATGATGGCTGGGGCGGTCTACTCGCTTCCAAGACCAAGAAGAAGAGCAAGAAAGGGGCTCTGATTGACGACAGTGTGCCAGAGGTACCTCCGCCGCCGCCAGAGCCTGAGAAGAAAGAGGAAGACGATTCATGGGGCGCATTCAGCTTTGGCGCCACCAAGGACAAGAAGAAAAAGAAGAAGGGTGTAATTGAAGAAGAGCCTCCGCCACCTGAGCCAGAACCAGAACCTGTCGTCGAGGCTGAGCCATCGCCTGCCAAAGAGGAGGACCCATGGGGTGGTGGTTGGGGAGCGGCTGCTGCTGCTGGCACCAAGAAGAAGAAAGGTAAGAAGGGAGCCAAGGAAGAACCTCCACCTCCCGAGCCGGAAGCCGAACCTGAGCCGGTACCTGAACCTGAGCCGGAGCCGGAACCCCCGAAAGAACCAGAGCCAGTCGTGGATCCTTACGCAGGACTCAGCAAGTCGCAGGCGAAGAAACTCAAAACCAAGTTGGACAAAGAGGCTAAGCAGAAGGAGGAAGAAGATGCCAAGCGCGCGAAAGAGGAGGAGGAAGCTGCTGAGATCAGGCGACAGGAAGAGGAAGAGGCAGAACGGATACGCTTAGAAGAGGAGGAAGCCGAGCTGAAGAAGATGGAGGAAGAGGAAGCCGCCGCCGCCGCTGCTGAAGCTGAGAAGGCTAAGCAGAAAGACGACACCTGGGGCGATTGGGGTGGTGCAGCTCCGACAACTACGAAGAAGAAGAAAAAGGGCAAGAAAGGTGCAGAGGAAGAAATTCCGCCACCGCCACCACCCCCTCCTGAGCCTGAAGCTGAGCCTGAGCCCGCTCCGGCTGAGGACAGACCAGTTGATCCGTGGGATGATTGGGGCTCAACACCTCCTGCTGCTGTCAAGAAAATGAAGAAGAGCAAGAAGGGTGTGCTTATCGAACCTGTCATCGAAGAGCCGCCGCCACCACCGGAACCTGAGCCTGAGCCAGCACAAGAAGACGAGAAGGGCACCGACTGGGGCCTGAGTTCGATATGGGGCGGAGGAAAGAAGAAGAAGAAGAGCAGTAAATCCGTCGAACTGGACTCGCTTCCCGCACCTAGCCCTGAGCCCATAATCGAAGAGCTTGCTTCCGTTCACCAACCCGAAGACGTCGAAGAGCCCAAGGAAGACGAATCCGACGACTGGGGCGCGCCATCCTGGAGCAAGAAGAAGAATAAGGATCCGAAGAAGGATGCGCCTGAAGAGGTTATTGAGGACACCAGTACGCCCGTTCAGAAACCCGACGAGGATGATCCTTGGGGCAGCGCAGCCTTCAACATTGGCAAGAAGTCAAAGAAGAGCAAGAAGGGCCTAGTTCCACCGAACGTGCCGACGCCGCCGGGAGAATTTGAGTCAGAGTTTCCGGCGCCGAAGGAAATTGAAGCGCCTCCACCAGCCCAAGACGAAGACATCTGGGGTGCTCCTGCTACTGTCACCAAGAAGAAGAAGAGTAAGACTGTCAGTAGCCTGCTCAGCAAATTCGAACCCGAAAGCTCTCCGCCAAAATCGACAAACGATACTTTCGAGGATCTTATCTCGCTCGACGACCCACCGCCACCGCCTCCTGAGCCAGAACCAGTAGTGGAAGAAGCTCCAGCGCCAGTCGAGGAGAAGAAGAAGAGCAAGAAAGAGAAAGAGACGAAGTCGAGCAGCATCTGGGGTTCTCTTAGTGGTTCCAAGAAGCCGAAGAACGAGACACCTACAGAGAAGAGAGTGCGAGAGAGGAAGGAGAGGAAAGAACGAGAAGAGCAGGAGCGTCTGGAGAAGGAGGCTGCTGAGAAAGAGGAGGAAGAGCGCCTGGCCCGCGAAGCTGAAGAGGCGGCGGCTGAACAGGCGCGTATTGAGGCCGAAGAAGCTGAGGCGGCACGTATATTAGCAGAGGAAGAGGAAGAGAAAAAGAGGAAAGAAGAGGAGTCAGCAGCCTCAAAACTGGCGGGTTGGGGCGCCAGCATCTGGGGCGCTTCAAAGAAGAAGACGGAAACCCCAAGGGAGAGAAGAGCCCGCGAGAAGAAAGAGGAGGAAGAACGTCTGGCGAAAGAAGCTGCCGAGCAAGCAGAGAAGGAGCGTCTCGAGCAAGAAGAACAGGAACGTCTTCAGCGCGAAGAAGAGGAGCGTCTAGAACAGGAACGCCTCGAGCGTGAAGAGCAGGAGCGTATTGAGGCAGAAGAAGCTGAGCGTGCTGCTGAAGAAGAAAGACTCCGCATCGAAGCCGAGGAGGCTGAGAGAGCTCGCATAGCTGCAGAAGAGGAAGAAGCGCGTCGCATAGCTGAGGAAGAAGCTAAAGCAAGTTCCGGATGGGGCATGTTTGGCTTAGGGAAGAAGAAGGAGTCGAGCAAGGCGAAGCGTGAGCGAGAGGCCAAGGAGAAGAAGGCGGCTGAAGAAAAAGAACGGCTGGAGCGTGAAGCCAGAGAAGCTGCTGAAGCTGAAGCAGCTGCCGCGGCCGAGGCCGAAGCCGCTGAAGCCGCTGAAGCCGCCGAGGCGGAGAGGGTTGCGAAGGAGGCGGAAGAGGCCGAGTTTGCTCGTATTGCTGCTGAGCAGGATATGGTACTCGAGCCTGAGCCAGCCCCGAAAGAAAAGAAGAAGAAAAAGAAGAGAGGCATTGTTGAAGAACTTCCACCGCCTCCGCCGCCCCCACCCGCCGAGCCTACGAATGACGACGAACTGTTCGATCTGATCAAGGATGAAGACGCAGGTGATCTCTTGGCCGAGCTCGAGAAGCCTACCAGGAAAGAGGAGAAGGAAGCGGCTAGCGGTTGGGGCAGTGCGTGGGGTATCTCTCTGCGCAAGACCAAGCCTGAACAGCCAAAGCCTAGCATCTGGGATGAACCAGAACCGGAGCCAGAGCCGGAGCCTGAACCCGAAGTCGAGGAACCCGAGCCAGAGCCAGAGCCAGAAGCTGAACCCGAGCCGGAGCCAGAGCCTGAACCGGAGCCTGTCAAACTCACCCCCAAGGAGGAGCGAAGACTCAAAAAGTCCAAGAAGCATCGGCATGTGGAGCCAGAGCCAGAACCAGCCCCAGAGCCAGAGGTTGAAGAGGCCCCTCCTGAGCCAGAACCTGAGCCAGAACCGGAGGTGGTCGTCGTTGAAAAGCCCAAGAAGAAGCTGTCCTCCAAGGAAAAGAAGAAGCTGGAAGAGGAGAAACTCAAGGAGGAGAAACGGCTGAAGAAGTTGAAGAAGGCCGGGAAGTTAGTCGAAGCTCCTATTGCAATTCCTGAACCCGACCCAGAGCCTGAAGTACCTGCCGAGAGATCCCCTCCTGCACCTGGTGCATTCCCCGACGACGAAGGCGATACGATGGACTTCCATGACGCAGAGGATGCAGCGCCGCCAGAAGAGCCTGAACCAGAGCCTGAACCTGAACCAGCCGCCGAACCGGAACCTGAGCCTGAACCAGCACCAGTGCCCGGACCTTCTATTCTTTCGGAGCTGAAGAAGTTGAAGAAGACCAAAAAGAGCAGCAAATCGAGAGGGTTCAGTTTCGACGACCCGCCGCCGCCGCCTCTGGAGCCTGAACCAATCGTCGAGGAACCTGAGCCAGAGCCAGAGCCAGAGCCGGAAGCTGAACCTGAGCCTGAACCCGAAGCGGAACCAGAACCAGAACCGGAGCCAGAGCCAGAGCCAGTCAAACTCACCCCCAAGGAGGAGCGGAGACTCAAGAAGTCCAAGAAGAGTAGCAAGACAAGGACACGTCAGCCAGAACCTGAGCCTGAACCTGAGCCAGAACCCATTATCGAAGAAGCGCCTGAAGAAGCAGACCCTGACATGGACGACGACGAGGAGGCTCCCGAAAAACTTCCTACACCACCTCCAGAAGTTGCGCCTGAGCCCCCGTCGGAATCTCCAAGAAAAGAGCGTGTCAAGCTAGGTCGCAGCGCTACCACGGCCGCTGGAGGATGGGGCTTATTTGGTGCGGCCAAGACTAAGACCAGAAGGGTGTCTGGTGGTGAAGACGGCGCCGGCCTTCCCGATCGCACAAAGTCTGTACGAACCTCGTCCACTCGGGACAATGACATCAAGTCACGTTCATCAGGCTCGGACAAGGTGCACTCATCCAAGCCAACGGTTTCACGGTCCAAAACGGCCCGCGCTGGTACTGGGCTAGGTGCCATGTTTGGTGTTGCTCCGCCCCCGCCTTCACGATCAAAGTCACATCGCACACCCAAGACCACGTCGCGCCGACCCTCAATCGACCAGGACGCTGCTATGATGTCGCCGCCACAAACAGACACTGACGCAAGGGTCTCTTCAAAGGCCGCCAAGGTCATGGGCATGAAAAGCTCGTCGCGCAGGACCAGCACTCGGGACGCCAGAGATAAGGGCTTCCGTCGAGGTGAGCCGTTCCCCGCTAAGCACGATGCGCCTGTCATTGGCCGGCGCAGCCGTAAGCAAACATTCGGAGCTAACCCTATGGCAGCTGTTCCAGACCCGTATCCTATTGACGACGACCAAGATCTTGACGATGAGTCTCCTCCCCCAGCTCCCCGTCCAGAGCCATCGCGTCGCAAATCCAAGCGCGACTCCGCGCAACCCCTTGAACCCTTGACTGCACCGCCTAGCGCTGACGATCCTATCGTCGTCGACCCTATGGACATGGACCCTGCCCCAGCTGAGGCTGAGCGGCCCCGCCGCGAACGTGAGCGGGAGCGACCCCGTCGTGCGCGCGGCAATTCTGACGCAATGGGAACGCTTGCTGGTGTCGCAGGTACTGCTGCTGCTGTGAAGGGCTTCAAGGGAATGTTTGGCCTTGGTCGCAAGAAGGCTGCGCCGGAAGAGGCACCCCGCGAGCGCCGCCGGACCGCCTACGAGACCGAAGACGAGCGTAGACATCGCAAGCGATCGACAACCCGTGGAGGCGCAACAGAGGATGAGGCGAAGCGGCTGCGACACGAGCGCCGCAGTCTGCGCCATCCACCTCCTGAGGACGTTATGATGTCAGGCGCAAATGGCACCCCTGAGGACTACGATGCTGAGCGAGAGGCTCGACGAGCTGAGCGTAGATCCAAACGCGATGGAGACAAAGGAGCCCGGCGCGCTGAGCTTGAAGAGGCAGAGGCCAAGGCAGAGCGCCGTCGCGAACGTGAGCGCGAGAACGAGCGTGCGACTCTTGCGGAGAAGAAGGCCCGTCAGATGGCTGAGTTGGAGCGTCGCAACCAGGAGGCCGAGGAACAACTGCGTCGCATGGCCGAGAAGGAGGAGCGGAAGAAGGCACGAGGCGAGCGCAAACCGCCATCCGACGAACGAGAGCGCGAGAAGCGTTCTTCGCGCCGCAAAGACAAGGACCGCGAAGAGCCCCGCCCAAAGACTGAACGCCGTCGAACAGTGCACGTGGACGAAGACGCAGAACGTCGCCGTCGTCACGAAGAGCGCCGTGCCGCCAGACGCAACTCCGAATACCCCGTCGCAGCCAGCGGCGAGCCCATCACCGACTACTTCGACGAGCGCAACGGCGGGGCCCGCAAACACCGCAGTTCGCGCCAGGCCCGCGACGAGGAAGAAAACATGCCGTACAGCAACAACAAGAGCGGCGACAAGACCTCCTCGTGGGTGGAATCCCTCTCCAACGAGCCACCCCTCCCTCCCCCCATCTCCGAAACCGTCCTCGACCCCGCCCCCGGCGCGCGCGAGACCCCCGAGGAAGACGAGGAAACCTTCTCGCAAGACGAAGACATCCGCCTGCGCATCGCCGGCCGCAAGGGACCCAAGCGCGATAAAGAACGTGCGGAGCGCCGCAAGGCAGAGGACAAGGAACGCGATCGCGATAGGACGCACAAGCACAGTCGCCGGGCTACACACTACGAAGGCATGAAGACGGTTGATGACGACAGAGAGCGCAAGAGGGCGTCCCGCCGCACAAGCTACGTGCCTGCGTATGAAGAGCCGCCTGTGCGCACTTGGGATGGCAGACCGGCTGTTGATGGCGGTGCCCCGGCTGTCAAGAGGGGAAGCTGGTTTAAGAAGATGTTTTAAGCCACGCCCTTCTTCTCTTCTCTTCTTCTTCTTGCTCACAAATTTTTGCTCAACGATGGACTTTTGGTTTACGATGTAATATGGGCTTTACGAAAGATTATCTTGGATGTGTATATGTTTTGGAATGTTTGGATTATGGACTGACAGCGAAGCGACAGCGTGGTTTGGATCTCTTGCTTGATTAGCATTGCGTGGCGCTTTTTGATTCGTTCTCTGGATCTTTTCTTGTCTACTTTACTTACTTACTTTACTTCATGAGAACTACTTTTATCTTCTTCATTACTTCTATCTGTTTTGTTCGGCATCTTTCAGCGACGCTGCCTTTCTGTGATATCCTGGGTTAGGTTTCTGTGGGTATTCACTGGACAGGAGGCGGATGGGATGTGTAGGAAAGTCAGATAGATACCCCCCTCTCTTTTAGTAGTTTTCAATGCTAGCAATCGTTGCAACTGCATATCAATCCTGCCAGTGTACATGTGGAGTTTTCGACTATTCCGGGATAACATGCAAGTCATAATCTGCATTGTTTCATCGTCGTTTGGTATATCAGATACTGCTTTAACACCCAGCCATGACGCCTATCGCCAAACCCATGCTAGTTCCTCTCGGATGCTATAAACTACTCATGCCTCCATCTTCCTAAACATGCTTCCGACCCCTCACCCATCCATCTGTACAATAGTGAAACGGCCATTATAGGCCCATTTGTCACAGCTGCACAACGGCCCCCTCAACGCCTTCCTGAGTCTCCATATCATCGTCGTCCTCATCATCTTCCAGATCCTCATCTTCTTCCTCGAACCCAGTCTCCATCTTCAGCGTCTTGAGCCTGTCTTTCATCTCATCCTTTTTGTCTGCCTGCCACCGCGCCAGCGCTGCTGCAGAGTGTACTTTGAAGCCGAAAACGCGGGGCTCGTACCGCCGTTGCGATTTCGGTGGCAGCATCGCAGGGTAGACTTGGAAGAGGATGTTGTGGAAGGAGGTGCCGAAGTAGGCGCCGTCGATTACGGCGTGGCGGGAGGATTTGGGGTTGTAGAGGTCTTCGCAGCGGGCGCAGTAGAGTTTTACGGGGGAGGCGTTGGGCACGTCGGATTGACCCATGGGGAGGAGGGGTTGCGATTCGCACATTACGCGGGGGCATTTGCCAAAGTCTGACTTCTTGAACTTCTCAAGCTGGGTGGTGTGTTAGTCGTGGGCGCGAGGCATGGGATATGAGCGCCTGACGTACCATCTTGGCAAGACCCCTGGTAGTGACGATGTATCGTGCGTGGACGAGTCCGTAGAGATGCCGTGCCGACTTCTCGATCTGTTCCCGCATATCATCGTCGCAGTCGAAGTCGAACACGTCTGTGACGAGATCGAGTGCATATTGGTAGTACTGAACTTCGGTGTTCAGGCCTGTTAGGTTGAAGCGGTCGGTGAGGTATTCTTCGTCAATCTCGCAAAAGTATTCGTTCCCTCGAGAGGATATGAACTACTTGTTTGTTAGCCTGCGTTGAAATGAATAGCTGTGTCTTCTCTTCTACGCTGTCGTGATCCTCCCACCAGTCGGACCACCACTCGCTCTGCATGAGCATGAGTGGGCCCCATTTGGCCGAGAAGATAGTGTAGTCTTCATCCACTTCAAATGAATGGGGGCACCTCAGCGTGGAGATATAGCCGTCTTCGCCGCAGTCACCGCTGGCGCATGGTCAGACGCGACCTGCAATGAAGGGCTGGCAGAGCATACCACGCCATGAGGTACCTATAGTTCCACCCCGACGCCCCCAAGGTTTGTAGAGACATGACCAGCGATCAAAGAATACCCGTGTTGGTAATGTATGGAGTTCAGGTACTCACCCAGTCTCGCCAGTAGCTTGTGTAGTCGCTGTCCGTGTCGCTGTTGAAGTCGTCCATGTTTGCGCTTGCTCTCGGCGACGGTCTCCGAGGGGGTTAGGGCGTTCGTATGTCTTGTTTGTAGGCTGCGACCACCGGCGGGGTGGGGCGGTGCGATCAGGCGCAAGCTCGGGTCGGGACGCGGTTGCGGAGTGAATTGCGCGCCCACCTAGTGGGATGGCAGTCGTCGCATCCCACCTCCACTGCTTGTTTCTCCGCTCCGGTCGCGCTAGTCGCTTGGGCCGCGTCCCTTCAACATGACAACCCCAGACTTCCCCACCAATCCTGTCTACTGGGTCGCCAACTTTCTGTACCAGTCAGTATTCTGCGTACAGTAGACATCTCGACTTCAAGACCCGTTCCGGAAGAAGTCCCTGGGTCCAGACCATGCTACGGGGCAGGTACGTGCACGTGAGGTGCCTAAAGATTGATTGCACGAAGTCAATCAATGTCTTACTACATTTCGTACACCGATGTCACTTGCTTAAACTTTGATGTACGACGCCAGTAATCGTCTTACATCAATTCTTACATGAATCTTACTTGCCATTAGGCTAAAATATTCACTGTTCCAAGGTTCCGCTGCTATTTCTTCGCATTCAATACCGTCTGTTTGTTAACCAGGAACTCTATTTCCTTGTTATATAGCTTGCCCGTGATCCTTCGCCATCGTACTGCGAATAATTTGTTTCGGTCGTTTTAGTTCGGGGCTTCGAAGCAGGTCTTCACAATTGGACTCTCTCATTTTGGTCACGCTTACCACCAAGAGCTATCTCATAACCGCCTCTCACATCCATTTACACTGGTGACTCGTGTCTCACCAATCATCCCGTTATCACGACGTGCGCGATGTGTGCCGCCGCAAGCGCTCTCCAGCCTATTTCTAGGTTCTGCTCCCAGCTATCTACCATAGTCGAGTACATGCCTACCCTTGCTGTTTATGGCACACCGGACTCTTCCATCGACGCGAACCGTCTGTTCAAAGATACTGAAGCGCGGTTCCCGGGAAGATGGAGGAAGGATGGATGGTATCTTTCCACTGTGAGTACGATCTTTCCGGGAGAGACTTTAACGTTGACATTGCGCGTGTTTGACAGACAGCGGCACTTATCGCCAGCGGCCAGCCGGGTCTGATAGGTCCTCTCTACAACTACATCATCTCACAGCCGTCATATCAGACGTCTGCGGAGAGACAACGTCTCGTACGGCGCATGAGAGAAGCCATGATCAAATGTATTATTCTCAACGGCATTCCCATCGTCATGGAAGCTTTTGTGTCTCTTGCGAAGCAAGAAAAGCCCGAAGATCAGGATCATAGTTTCACACGCAAGGATTGGAAAGCTGATGAAGCGAACCATAAGCGCGGTCTCGAGGTTCTTGAAACGCTTTATGGCGATGATAATGAGAAGATCTGGGCATCGTTCGGTTCACACAAAGATATACGTGAGTATCCCGCAAATCTCCGCTGCGCTTCCCTTGGAGGCTCATCCACCATATAGCATGGCTCTCGACCGACATATCATATGGTTTGTTCCTGGCAGATCACAATACCCTCGATATCGTCGAATCCGAGCTCGTCATCTTGCCCGCGATCATGTGCCAAGGTCTCCCCACTTCAACAAGATGGCATCTACGTGGGTGTCTGCGGGTCGGCTGTACACGCGATGAAGTGGAATGCATACAACAGGTTATTGAACATATTGCAGCGACCTGTGGGAAAGAATTAAAAGGTCTGCCGAGAGTTTCAGATATACCTACAGATGAGATATGAAGGACCAGAAAGGTCGAAGAAGCCCTAAAGATATCTGGAAATATGTTAAGGCACAGGCTGTCTCGTACTGTTACATGGTCACGAGAGAAAACGGGCATGAAGAAGTACACGTAAAATTGGTATCAAGAGCATGTCTATCTCAAACCTTCGCCACGGCTGTCAAGTACTGCTGACTGTGCGGGTAGTCGATATACCCCTTCGGTGTCTTTGGAGTGTAGAAAACAGAGCGGTCATACTTGACCAGCGGTACGCTCTCCTTGACGCGGAAAACCAGGTCGGGGTTGGCAACGAAATATCTGCCGAAGGCGATGATGACATCGTAGTCCTTGTACGTCTCATCAACAGTCTGCTTCGCTGAGTCGGGTAGGAAGCCTCCTGCAAGCATGACGGGACTCGCGTTGCCCCATTGTTCGACCATCCACTGCACAGTCTTCTGGCCTCCGCATTCCGAGTCGTCGTTGCCAGTGATGCGGGCTTCGATCAGGTGGAGATAAGCCAGACCCAGTTTCTTCAGCTCTTCGGTGAGGTATTCGAAAGTTGGCTCGGGCTCGTCCATTAGCATGCCGTTGAAGTCGCTGTAAGGGCTGAGGCGCATTGCTGTTCTTTGAGCGCCAACAGCAGCGATAACAGCCTTGGTGACTTCAAGGTGGAATCGCGCGCGTTGCTCGATGCTACCTCCCCAGCTATCCGTCCGTTGGTTACAAGTCGTCTGAAGGAACTGATCCGGCAGGTATCCATTAGCACCGTGGATCTCGACACCGTCAAAACCGGCAGCGATGGCATTCTTGGCTGCATTCGCATAGTCTGCTATGGTCTCCCAAATCATCCCCTCTGTCATTTCCACTGGTGTTCGGTCTTGAGGTGTGATGGGTACTGCGCTGGATGAGACCAGCGTGATGCCTTCTGCGTCCAGCGCATCGGTCCTTGCGGCACGGCCTTGATGCCAGAGTTGACAGTATATCGCACAGCCTTTCGCATGTACTGCTGACGTAATGTCTTTCCAGGAAACGATGTGGTCTTCTTGCCAGATTCCTGGAGCATTTTGGGCGCCGATGGCGTTCCTGGAGATGATGGTTGCTTCGCTGACAATAAGGGTGCCTGGTACACATGCTCGTTGCTCATAATACTCTGCGATACTTGGTCAATATCGGCCCTTCGTAGTGACGGTGTTCAAGGTACCTTTGTTCATGGGCGTCGCCTTGTAGTCGTCGCCCATGCGATACCGTGTCAACGGTGCCATTGCGACACGATGGCCCAACTTTACATCTCCAACCGTCAATGGTTGGAAGAGTTTCGTCATCTTGGCAGTCGATGTTGGTACAACAGAAGACGAGGTAGGATCTGATCAAGTGGT